AAAAGACATCAATGGCCTGATCTGGTGTTAGCATCTTCCCACTATGAGCAAGATGTTTTAATATGTGACCTGCAGAGAAACCTTCCCACCAGCATTTCTACCATTCTGTGATTTCTCAGTACAGAAGCAGCAGTAGCATGAGAACTCTCTCCACATTGCCCGTTTGAGTAAGGCGCAACAGAGAAGTAGAGGTCTTTGGCAGGGTTACAAAAGCACCTCTCACTCTTCTCAATGCCCAATTCCAATATAATACCCTGGATTTTACGTTTACTTAAAATACACAAAATCTGATAGGTGACCTACAAAATCAGCAGTGAAGTTACTCCTCAGGACAAAACGACTCAAGTTGTTACATGCACAAATGTCAGCAGAGATTTGTGAAAGGCTTCTAACTAAAACCCAGGCTTCAGAGGTTAGGAGCTAGCAAGATTTCTGCAGCAGAAGGAAAGACTCTCATATTGCCCTTCAGATATGAAAAGATGGAATTATTAAATGACAGGCCTCAGATTGACCATAATTGGTTACAACACAGAAAATCCTATTACTGTCTGTTTTCTCAAGACCACAAGAGCATATTGATTAATAAAAGCACATCAGTTTAACTATAAAATGAGGACAGTTCCACTACGTTCTCAGTCCTGTGCCTTTAAACTCCTTTCATGCTCTGTTAAAGGCTTAAGATCTTAATTAAATGGTGTCTTTCAGGCTTCACAGATGATCTGGGAAAACACATTCTTAAGATATAGTCAGACCATTACTGTAATATTTATTTAATACAATTTCACAAGACCAACATTACATAGCAGAAGAAATGGAAATGCAGAGAAGCTTTCACTAATGGAATTCTGCTTCATAAAAATACCCTAAAACCAAAGTAAAATACAAAATACCATTCATAAAAATGATGGCTTGATTTACCAGATCCTCATTAAAGGGATCTGTAGTCCCTTTGATCAGCCACTTCAAGTGCTTCTTTATAAAGGAACAAAGGAAGGGTTGTGTCTATCTGTATTGTTGACTTGATATATTTTAAATAAAAAAGGCCAATTTAGCTCAATCAAATGAAGGCAACCAGCTGTAAGAGAACTTCACCACATTAAAATCATCAGGCAGACTATATACCAACAAAATCTAGAATCTACTTCTAGAAATTAACTAATTATTTTCTTCTCCCTCCCCATTTTGAGGGCAAGTTTTCACAGTAGGCTCCTAGATTTTAAAAATTAAAATTTCTTAATTGACTTCAAGTGACTGATACTCTACTAAATCTCTCAACAAATTGTTGTAGTGTTTGGCTACCTTCATCCTCTCATCTCCATGTCAGGCAATTACAATTAATTATATCACATTACAAGACTGTGATTCAGGATTTTTTGATCCATAATTCTTACCCCAAAGGAAAAATAAAAGTATAATGAAATCAATTGCTCATGTTCAGGGATTAACTGCAAATATACGGATGTCTGAAATCTTCTATTCTATTACTATCATATAATTTTCAGTTTGAAAACATTTAGAGGCATTAGACTAAAGGGTCTACTTCTTTTGACCTAATTGACCCGTGTTACAGGAGTGCATGACCCGAAGCTATCAGAGCCAACAGTGTACAACCTGACAGTAAAATCAAGAAATAATGATAATTACAGATCACTGTTGCCAGTACAGATATATTTTTAATACCATCTGAAATATAACAATTGAAGTATGGTTAGTATTAGGTTAATGAAATTAAATGTCTCTTGATAAAAATTTAACATAGCAATAGTTATTACTTGGATTCAGGGAATATCTGTTTTGATCTTACTAACATGCTAATATTTATCAAAAAAATCAGTGTAGGGCAGTACATGAAAAAGATATCCACAGGCCCTGTTCTGCTACTCCTCATGGCAGATGGTTGCTAATTGCCCAAAGAGAATGTATTAATGAACATTTTGTAAGAATTATCTAGTATCTGTTTCCTCCTTCTAAACCACTATCTATGGTCTTTGGTTCATCCACTCCCCAGATTTCTTCCCAGGGTCATGCTAGATCCCAGTATCACCACTTGGAATATTCCACCTTTCTGTAGCATTTTTCCCATAACAAACAACTGATGGGCTAGTAACAAAACCAGAATATTTGTCAGAGTTCCTGATACCACTATAAATAGGCTTCACCCTGCATTATCTAAATGTCATCATCCTATTTAAAAAGGAACTGTATTAAAGATCATTTATATACTGTTCTATCTAGAACAGTTTTTTATATGCTTCTCAATGCAAATTAATTATGTCTGAGCTATGTTTTAAAACTGTTCCTGTTTCATTTTATATGAACTTTTCCTCCCTAATACCGCAAAGACTCAAGAACAAGCTGATCTAGAGAGACACAGACAGAAACATGAAAGAACATGCCACTACAAAGGACAAACTTTAGACCCCTGCAATCTTTTTACTAAGCTGATTGTGTTCTACACTAAAACTTAACCTTACAGAGCCTGAGGAGTTGTTGGTGGTAGCTGGGTGCTTTTCTGTCTCTTCTTATCCCAGTGTTTCACATTCATGATTAGACTGGATAAATCTGGGCAAGATCTTACCAGGGCTTTTCATGAAATAAACTTCTACTTCCCTGGCTCTCTCTTGGCAACATCTACACCATTTCATTTTAGGATATCTACCTTTCTTATGTCTCATTGCGTAGGTCTTCATCTGATCAGCTAGTGTCCCCATGTCCACCTGCATTATTTTATAGTAATTCTATTGCAGAAATTCTTGTTATTAGACCTTGAGTCCAAGTACAAAGACCTGCAGGGTCATTTTTGTTCCGCTTTAGATCAATAAAACAGATGGTAGGTTGTGCTTTTAAAAGGTACATCCCTCAACATGCAGATTAAGAAAAGAGTAGACAAGATACCTTTGTGCCACTGTATTTTCTCTTTCCCCTGTCATGAGCTGCCCCCATAGAGGAAAGCATCGTGGGTGCAGCAGCTCATCATAAAACGGCATAAGCCATAAAACTGTCCCCAGTGGGACTCAAACAGCTCTGAAATGCTGCCCACATTACAAGAGAATTGTGCTTTGCACTTCAATGAAGTCTTGCATACTTCATTATTTAGTTTTACCTCAGTTCCTGCAGCAAGGGGCTCTGGTCTTCATTTAGCTGCAGCTGTTTTCCCAGACATGATAGGGCCAGACTGGGTGTAAAAATCTCACCCAGCAATTTGTCACCACAGGATTATGTTTCTAACTATAATGAGAGATGAACCAGAGTGTAGCAGTATCAATTAGCAGAGTATGTCATTTAAGTAAGGCAGGCTGCTCCTGCTCTAGCCTAGAAGCAGCAGTGAGACATGCACAAAACCACACTATCCTTTAAACAATGATTTTTCATTCTCATAGATCATCCTGGAAGGCAGAACTATCATGACATGATGGCTAATGAGATTGAGAAGATACACAGATATGGTTAGAAAGCACATGCACTACTGACAGAAACGAAAGACTATTGAAAGCTGCATTTTTCTCAACATTATGAGCGACCTACATTATACTGTTAATTTCTCTGTGCTTTCCACGTGAGAATTCAGAATCTGTAACCCAGACAATTTAGGGCAGTGTTTTATTGCCAGGGCTGGTCCACATTTGAAATTCTGAATCTGAACTTTTGATTGGCTTTTGGTCCCAAATTGTAAGTTCTAAAATACAATCCAAAGTAAAAAGGAACTGGTAGGAAGGACCATCCAAAAGAAAGGGGAACAGACTGAAACTGTTTCAACCTTAAACTAAACATTTGATAAAATTAGATTTCCTTTTGATAATGATTTGGATTTATTTGACATTACTGTAATATCACATGATCTAATACAAGTTCAAACATGTAGATTGTAACTGCATCATTTCAAGAAAAAAAAAATTAAGTATTTTTAATTCTAAAAAGAAATACAGTGATTGGTGTTTTAAGTAGATATAAGTAATAATAGACAAAGGCAGTACTCCCCTGCAACTTCAACACACTGATGGAAACAGCCACAGTGCTGTTGCGGATATGGGAGGGAAGGAAAAAGCATCCTCTCTTCTATCACATCACACAGTAGATACAACACATCAACTGTGCTGTAAGAAGAGGCTACAGTTCCCTTTGTTCTTCTAGCTATGAAAGCTACCCCACTGTACTGTAAAAATGTAACAAAAAAAAAAAATCAGACTTTAAGAATCAAACTAAAAGGTCATGTCAGAAGGCTGGACACCAGGGTGTCCTTTGGAACGGCTTTTCACATAGGAGTGGAAGAGCCTGTGTTAGCTGGCTCTCTACATCATTAAAATCCCATTATCCACCACAGGATATGGATGAGATCCTATTCCCTGGTGAAGAAGAATTGAGGGGGAGAGTATGGAAATAAGGCAAGAGATAGAGAGAATTTTTTTAAAACGAGAGTATATGAAGAACTTCTTGTATTCAAAAGCTTAAGGGAAAATGTGGCCTTGCAAATCAACAGAAGTTCATGGCAATTGCTGATGGAAATTCTAAACAAACACAAAATGTTTGTGTGTGTTTTGTTTAATACCCATTTGTTTGCTTCTCTCAGTTTTGAAATCTTAGGTATGATGGGATCAGAGTTAACAGAATAAATAATAAAGTGTTGCGATTCTTGACTGAACCAAGAATTATCTTCCTTGCTACAGAAATAGTTCAAAGAAGCAAAAGTCATAAGGACTTCTTGTCTTAAACCACAGTTTTACCAAACAACCCTGTACATGAAATATAAACAAGTCTTTGGATTTTAAATGCACACAGTTACAGTTTAGTAAGCCCTGTTAATTTCTTGGAAAATTTTGCCCATAAATACAAAATAATTACCTTTAACACAGTTGTTTTGGTATTTCATTACTGTTACCAAAACAGAGAAGAATGGCATTTTTCTTTTTCTGGCTAATTTCCTAGGTCATCCCATAAAAGGAAAAAAATCAAGGAAAAAAAGAAAAATAAGGGAAGAATAAATACAGAAATATGGTTCTTACCCTGAAGAGCGGCAGTCTGGTTTATTTCTTTCAGAGCGATCTGTGAGAAAAGAGGCATAATATCAGCAGAGAAGTTCAATGTTCTTTAGCAATACTAGCACAAAAGTCTTAAAAGAACTGTGACACTGCATAACTAGCAAAATCAAAAGCTGTTTCTGTTATAAAACTGGGTTTCTGCACTGGACTACTCTGCCTGACACCAAGTACAATTACTGCAAGTTTAACATTTGTTAAAATTCCTCTACTCAAAACACTGTGTATTTAATGTTTTGTATTAATGCTTTGGAAGCTTCCCCTCCCTTTAGCTGAAATGAATAGGACTTTAGTTTAGGGTAAAAATAAGGGAGAGGGAAGAGGAAAAAAAGAAAAACCACAGATTACTCAGCGCAAAAAAATCATTCCATGAATCACGGCTGGCAGAGTTCCCTGACAGGATGGGAGAGAAATCAGCAGTTGGTTGCAGCAACATCTGCAAAATACACTGAATCCAGTGAAGCCCCATCATTAACTCTTTGACTTCTGGCTGTTCTAGATACTGAATCTTTCTGCATTTTTAAAAATGGTTTTGTTTATCCTGTGAGTATTTCAAGTAGCTTATTTGCACTAGTAAGACTGTACTGTGTACATTTTTATTTGTGGCTCAATCACATCAACACAGATAAACTTTTGCTGAACAATTTATCAGTTGCTAAAGCCATCTCTAGATAATTTCTAGAGGTTTTGTTTTTTTTTTTTACTTTTGAAAGCTCCAATATTCAAAGGAAGTACAAAATACTTCTTCTAAGAGTTAAGATTATCATAGAAGCATTACAAAATAACCAGTGTTGTGTTACTAGAATTCACATACTATCAGTTACATTGTAAATCCAGAATATCTCTTAGCCCATGACTTCTGAACTACCTGAAAGAAGAAATCAAGATCTGTGTCCTCCTAAAATACATATATTCTATAATTAGAGGGGGTTTTAATCATTTATTATAGAAAGATCCGCTATGAAATTGCAAGAATATTCTTACAGCTATATATCATCTCCACTGACCACGGTATTTTTGTTTCTGATTCCATCTGTATGTATTTTAAACAGAAAGCTATTTTTCCTGTGTTAGTAAACACTTTTCAGTAAAGTTTGTCTATACAGAATAGGCTTCCTTAAAAAAAAAAATTCATACTTATAGCTTGTAGTTTTAACCTTAAGGCTCCGCATCTGAAATAAAATTTCTCTTAATAGCACACATTTGTTTGTGTAGTTTTATCTCATGTACGGAAGAAATATTTTCCTCTCTAAGTTTTATGCAATCATTTGATTATGTCTTCATTAAAGTGGTAAAAAATTTTTGCATGTCAACAGTGCTCAAAGTAGTACGTAATGCTTCTTCTATCCATAGGTCTCCTATCGAGCTGTCGTAGCCACATAGTGTGTAATTTATTGTGTTTCTGAATCACAGTGATCTCCATTTCATCACACCATGTGCTACTCTGTTAGAAACAGCACGGTATAGCTCAAACCAGAGTTGCAGTGGCAGCTGTTCAAACACACACAGAAAAGCTACTTTTATCTTTATCATTTGTCTGTGTAACCTCCTTACCTGCAACCACATTAAAAAATAAGAGAGGACTTCCTACTGAAATCTGCTTGCCATCTGTTGCTTGCTATTGGTGCTCCCTGTTATGTAAGCACCCACAATCTAACAGTATCCAGACAAACCCTTCCCACTCCTGAAAGATGGTGCGAATAAACCAGTGAGAAGGAAGAAAAGGAGTCAGAGCACATGTAAACACAGTGTCTGGGAGCTCTGCCCCCCTGAGCCCTTGTCCAGTTGGCAGATGCACCACAGCCCGGCCACGCCGCTGCAACCTGTTCATTCAGGAAATCAGTGCAATTCCCTCTTCCCTTTTGTTTTACTGAAATGCTGACACAGGAAATATTACCTTTGTTCTTACACATTTTATTTACTGCTAAACCTAGTGAAAGCACACCATCCGTATGTACAGTGTTCTTACTAAAAGAACAAAGGGAAATGTAATCCTACAAGCATGCAGTCAGCATTTTAAAGTAGAAATAAAACCTGCACCTATATAAGGTTATTGTGAACTTAATCTTTTATTTAGTATCAAGTGTAACAAGAGACTCAAAGAACTGAATCTTTCAATTTAGTCCTTAAATTTTGCAATTTTAGATGCTGTTTTGGCATTGCATACAAGCACCAAATCATGTAATGTCACACATCTCTGAAATATGAAAGGCCAGAAGAAAAAGGCATTTTTTTTTTTTAAATACACACACACACACAAAAACACATTACATTTAAACACACACACATGCAGATGCCCTTCCTGCATTCTGCAGGCAAATCTGTGGCTTGCAAAAGTCGGGCCATGAAAGTGCATGCCCACAGCTGATTCTCTTTTACTCTATACATGTTACCTCAACAACTGAGATCTCCCTTTATAATCTTTTCTAACAGAAATAAGCAAGAAAACCATACAGATGCAAAGATCTGAAAATCATATAATGCACTACAGATTTTCCCCTATATCAAAGGCATAAATCGTTATAAAACATTGTGGGACATGATTTCTTTCTAGCACAATACTGTATATCCTTCAATTCTAATCTCTGGAAGCCAAAACAGCATGTCAGATTAGAGGAAACATTGGTTGTTTGCTGTTCTTGCACACATAATGAACAAACAGGTCAGTCCATGCTCCGGCATGGGAAATTTACAGGAAAAAATTCCACTTCCAGTGACAGATACTACCTTTCAGACACAAGCTTCCATAGATAAGACACCAGTACAGCTCTCCCTATCCTTGAGTTGCTAACATAACACAATTCCTTACTGTGTATGCAGGTGTAGTCAAATAGGCTAGGAATTCCTCAACAGCTAGTACTCACAAGCTAGAGAACTGGACTGTTTGGCCCTAAGTTTATTTTGACTAATGAACTGTTCTTGAAAATCAGCATCACCACCCCAACCCGACAGAGGAGAACAGTGTGTAGTTTGGGCTGTGTGCTAACACGGCAGATCTATTCTCAATTTCTTGACAGCTACCCTAGAGGTGGTACAATGCTATCATCTCTCTAATTTTACTATGGCAGACTTTGCCAGCTACTTCAGATAGCTCAGACAGCACAGCCACACACCACAGAGATGGTTCTTCCAGACAAAGAAAAGTTCTTTCTGCATGTCCTCCAATCCACAACTCACACAGCCAGAGACTTGCAGAATCTCAATCCAGAAGAACTGACCATCCTCCAACCTCCCGCAGTCCATACTTGAAGAGTTTTTCTCCACTTCACACTAGCATCTACTCTTTATAAAACCTTTGCTGCACTTAAACAAATATAGCCAGTGCAGGAGAAATAGATTATCCTTGTTCAGCAGCAGGATATAGTGCAAGAAGTCAAGGAGCTGACAGGTGGAACAGATGAGGTAGAAAAAGTCTGAGACTCCTGGGTGAGGTTGGGAAGACTGGTGTCAAGTTTTAAGCACTGAAGGTGAATAAAGGAAAACATCAGGACACAAAGATCTGCTACTCATACCACCACTGTTTGGCAAATTTAGTGTTTATTTATAAAATTGTGCTGTGTATATTTCATCAACAGCATGAACATGTTACACCTTTTTTCGGCATTCAAAGATCAATCAGCAGACAGAAATCCCATGTTCCAGTAGCTTTTAGAAAGGGTCATGGTAATTCTCTTACCCTTCAAGCTCGGGAAAACTATCTGCTTTGTTTGTTTGCTTTTAATATGATAGAACAGTTTTTCTTCTCAAGGAAAATATAAACATAACCATCAGGAGAAAGATAACGGACTCAACATTATTTCAGTTGCTCCACAAACTCAGAATAGCTTACATTTTTGCCAAAAAGACCACCAAAGCAGAAAACAATCATTTTTAAGGCATCTACTCCTGCCTCTGGAAGACAAGCAAAGAAAAGGAAAAAGGCAGCTCACACCAAACAGAGCCATTGTTTTTCCTCTGTTTATTTTGCAAGCTTCTTCAAAGTATCTTGTTGCTACGAGTGACTTCAACTGAAAAGTGTGCTCTCACTAGAAAAAAATTTAAGTATAAACATGAAATGCTGTTGAAAAATGAGTGGAAAGTTAACACACACTCTGCTGCTTTGAACTTGCAAAGCTGCTGGGGAACTTCCGATGCAACTACCTCCCAAGGTAGGTAACTTCCTACTCTCAACGCCATCCCAGAGCTCGATCTCTTTTAAAATCTAAATTGGCTGAAGGGAGCAAAGGGAGCCACATACCATTTCCATTGCTGGGAAATACTGTATTTTTCATCTTAATTATGGGTCTTGAATTGAGCAGCCACCAGAGGGGGGCAGGACATTGTAACACTCTTCAGGAAAGCATGTAGTTAGAGCAACCAGCTGTCTCCATCTCTGTTGTTTTTAGCCCCTGATGGCATGGCAGTGGTTTCACAATGACAAGTAGCATGAGATGCTTACAACAATAGTTCTGTAAAAATGGCAAGCCTCTAGATAAACCAAGCAATGGGAACAGTGGGCTCTTAAGCACTGCTGGCAACACCAAAATACAAAATATACAAAGAAGTCATATTCTCAGAATAGGCAACTGTTAAAAGAGGCTACACAACTTGTCCTAATCGGAACGCATTAATCCCCAATGAGCATACTTCTGTAAACGTCCAGGCCTTAACAAATCTGGCTGCTAAAATCAGTGCAGCAGCTTTCCAAGGTATCATGTAGAAATGTGATGGCTCCTACTGTTACTTTAGTAACATGTACCTTGACTATTACTCAGTTCGTCACAGCTAAATGGTGCAACAGTCCCTGTCAGACAACAGCATTAGATCAAGAGCCTTCAATTTCCATTTCAAATTGCCAATGTAGATGGGACCTTAACTCAAACTAAACTGCACATTTTCTGGGAAGAAGTTTTGCATTTGTGTAGGGTTTTCAATGCTAGTTGCTTTATATGCACCGAGATAAGCAGTAACTGCCACTGATACTGCAATCTTTTGTCTTCCATTCTGTTAAGGTATGGTGTGGCTCAC